TGGAGTGCGCGGGCGGAAGATCAACGACGGGCACGATGAATATGATGGATGTGTGTGTGACGGAGATGGAGCAGAGGTCACCCATCGCGCTTGGTTGCCGGTGGGACGTGGACCGCTACGAGTCCATGTGCAGCGCATCAAAAAACATAGTCATGAGAGTGCTAGCAGGCTCTAAGTTGCGGCGTTTGTCAAGCAATGTGTCAATACATACTCATAAATTCATATACTACACATACTGAGTACTGGTGTCAACGCTTTCAGAAAAAGGAGTTTATCTAACTGGTGTATGCTTTCTTTCTCCAAGTTCCAACACTGAAAGAAGGTGATGGAGCAACAAAAAGTAGGGTGTGGAGCAACACCAGTAATATCACCGAAAAAAATGTAGGCCATACTTGAATTGGTTTGGACTACACAAGTGATGTCCTGTTTTTCTGTGGGTGGGGGTTGTGTGCAATGTGTGTGTGTGTTTTTTTGCCTTTTTTTTTTTTGAGGGCCTATGAGAGAGATGGCAGAACCTGGCGGTGTTTTGGTGAGAAAAATCCCAATATAATATAATATTATGTCCTTTTTTTAAAAGAATATTATTATTTTTTGCATGGTGTCCGAGGCTTGTTGTTCAATTTTTTTTTTGTTGTTGTTGTTGCTTACCGTCACTGTTGTATCTACCCTTGTTGGGGTGCACATCAGGGAATAAATAACGACGAAGCAGCAGGAAGGAATGGAGGAGACAGCGGCGGAGGTTGCTTTGAAAATGCCACCACGCACTGTTGAAGAGATGCTTGCGGGCGCCATGTGGGTAACGAATCTCACTGATCCAGCACTCTGCCTTGAGCGCCTTCACGAGACGTTTAATGAAGTCATCTTCACCTGCGCCGAGGAGGAGGTGGAGGAGGAGGAGGAGGAGAAGCACGTAGGGCGGCTCAGGACGGCGGCAGACCGTCTGCGGGAGCAGAGGGCAAAGGAGGACCTCAGACGCGCCTTAATGGATTTGCAGGACACTACATATGTGGAGGAGGCAAACGAGGGAGAGGAGGCGGGAGAGGATGAAGAAGATGGTGCCGATGAAGAGGGCAGCGCCGATGAATTTTCCGAGGAGTCAGAACTTATGAATGATGAGGAGTTTTTGTCGTGGATCCACCGCAGTGACAATCAGCGCCAGGAGGAGCCTGCGAAATTGATGGGTCTAGATGCGACCGCCGCAGACTCCGCTGTCACTGGCGTTGAACTTGAGCTGCATCGTGTCGGCCTTGGCGAGGAGGACAAACGTATGGCGGAGGATCCGCTGCCGGAGCGACTCAAGGCCATTGAGGTTCAGGAGAGGCGACCAGCACTTGGATCGCGTATACTACCACACGGCTATTCCTACAAAATACCCCTTGAATATGAGGCATTCTGGATCCTACGGCAGTTGCGTGGTGCTGGCCAGCCACTGGCGCACAACACTCGCATCTGCGCTATTGCAACTCGCCCGCCACCGGAGGTGGTAGACGAACCTGTGGTGGTGGCTATCGCCTACGCCGTGCGAAAGATGACTCAGGAATACATGGAACCGGCGCATTTGATGCTGTATCACCAGACTGCGTTACACCCCCTCTTATGCGCGTTGCTAGAGAATTCACCGCTCACAGAGGCGGCAGAAAGTACACTGCCCGTTTCTTCTTACGCCTACAGTGTGGAAACTGGAAGACGACAACGCCCGTTCATATCTGACGCATACGTTGGTTTCAGTGCATTGGCTGACCGTTCGATCGGTGAGGGTAACTCTGCTTGGAATCGTCTTGACAGCAATGACAGTGACTTTGTTCAACGCAAGCCATGTTTTGTGGAACTGGGTCGTTTGTTAGTGCGCATTCTTGAGCTTGATGTTCTCTGCCACCGCCTAGAAAGTCAGCGGCAGCAGCTGCTGTTAAAGCTGAAGGATCACCCCGAGTCTAGCGTGCAGGAGCAGCGTGTGGCGCTGCAAAGTCTTGTCTTTGAGAGCGGCATTGAGGCAGACCTTTGGCAGACGTTTTCAAGTTTTCTTACCGCCGGTCATGGGCGGGGGCCAACGCAGGTGCTAAAGAGGCTCGGTCTCGAGGACGCATTTGAGGAGTACACCATTACTGGGCTCCAGTACCAAGAAAACCTGCTTGCTAACGCGCCAATTCATGTGTGTCAGTCGCCGCAATCAATACCATTGATGGATTGGGCGCGCCATGTTGGCGCCACCGCTCGCGCACCGCGCTCCGCTGAGGCTGTACTATCTCTTTTTAACCAGGCTATTGTGGAACAATTTTCAAAGCTGCCTATTCTCCGAAAGCGGCTGTTTGACGTATTTTGTGCGGAAGGAGATCTCATTGTGACGTACAAGCTCTGTGAAAGGAGAGACGATGTGTATTCGTTGGCCACTTTCTTTGTGGAGCATCCCCGGCACTATCTGGATTTACTGGAGCGAGAGCGGCAAGGCACGGTGGGACTCTACTATGTTTTGAGTGAGGATCTAGTGTACCGTGAGATGAATCTGCGCCAGCTGTACGATCGCTCCTCCGCCGCAGATGAGTGGTTTTTAGAGCGAGAAAGGGCAATGGGACTTTTGCTGGTGCGACTGATCGACGGTCTTATACCAAAGGTAAAGGCGGAGCTCAGTCAGTTTGCACAACATTTTGTGCAAACACAAGCTGTGGAACGCCTTGGCCTGATGTGTGCTCAAGGCTCCTATGAACCTACACGACTCTGTCTTGAGGCCTACGACAACGACGTTCTCACATGGGAGCCGGAGTGGAATGTTGTAGAGGCCCTCCCATTGAAACGGATACAAGTGCACGGTCACAAGCCTCTTGCACGTGTGTGTGCCGCCTACCGCGCTGATAACGGCATGACTCATATAAGCTTTATTGATGAGTCTGGCTCTTTTATTGGTTCGATGCGGTGGGCAGACTGCGCATTGAGTTCCGAAAGTGGTCGAGCGGCCAATTTGATGCAGCAGAATCAGCTTGAGAAACTCTGCTCACGTTATAGCCCTAGTGTAATTGTTGTCGGGGCTTCTAACATAGCATCTCTCGCATTGATGCGTTCCTTGCTAAGGTTTTTGCGGGAACACGTCTATACAACTTTTCATGTTCACATCCCTGTTGTCTGGGCTCCAGTAGAAGTGGCACGTTTGTACAGCAGCACAACCTACGCGGAGCTTGAGATGCCTGGAACGGACTCTCTTTGTCGTACCTCTGTAGCCCTGGCGCGTTACGTACAAGACCCGCTCCATACCATTTGTGTTCTCTTTGACAAGGAAAGAACGGCGCTACGTCTTTCTCTTGGTGCCACCGTGCATACAACAAGTGAGAAGGAGGATCAACTCTACGCGCGACTTTGTTGGGAAATGAGTCTGTGGGTTACTGCATGCGGAGTTTGGGTCGAGGACTGCGTTACCCGACCGGCAAGCGTGGCGTCGTTGCAGTTTATAGCGGGATTTGGTCCATCAAGGGCGCGTAAGCTGCAGAATCTGCTGACGTTGCGTCGCCCGAATAGTCGTGAAGAGTGTGGCCAGCTTATTACAGAGTGGTTAGGGGCATATGTTTTACTTAATGCGATTTCTTCGCTGCGTTTGGGCCCCCCAAGTGACGTTTCTGTCGGCGATGGAGGGTCATCGTTCCGGTGGCATCTTCTTGATCAAACGTTGATACCGCGCGAGTGGTACAGTGCCGCGGCGTTTGTTGCGAGAGCGGCACTTAAAAATATCCCATCAAGACTAGTTGCGCTTGTGGACTTTATGCAACTGGAGGCGTCAGACAAACGTCACCGCCTTGACCGCCACGCACATCAGCAAGATATGATTGCCGCTATTCGCGAGGCCCATCGTCCCGAGTGGGATTCATTGCTGGGGGAGAGAGAGGTGGAGTTTCTGCAGGAGGAGATGATAGCGGCGGGTCAGTCCTTTCTACGACGGCCGTACCGGCGACTGTCGCACAGGGAACTCATGACGTGTGTGACGGGCATCGTTTACTGCACACAATCCGGCGCGTCTGCTGAGACTCGTTCAGCTGATACACGCTCTCTAGTCATCTGTGAGGGGGAGTATGTGACGGGAACGGTGCAAGGCGTGCGCGGTGGTGGGGCTGTGCCGGGTATTCGTCTTTCCACATCGTTTGGGTTGGGCGCCTTCATTGCCGCAGAAGACATTGGCGATGAGACAATGAAGCAGGATGTTCTCTTGTATGAGCAAGCCTTGCATGATAATGCTGGCACGCCACAAAACCGCTCGTTTGTGGCATCTCCCACTTGGCTGCGCCGTGGTGTGCCCATTCAAGGCGTTGTTATTGGCTGCAATTGGGAGCGCTGCGAGTTACGCCTGCGGTGGTGCCGACCACGTGACACCCTGTCTACTAGTGATCGCAGTAGGGTGGAGGGTGGTGACGAGGACGGCATAGGCGGGGATCATCATTACTTGTCTTACGCCGCAGGTGCTGACGATGCGACGAGCAGCGCAAACTCTCTCCGTACGGTGCGAATGAATGTGGAAGCTCGTGTCTTTGCAACAAAGATATCACGCCACCCGCTGTTTCGCGACTCCACTAGTGCCACTGCGCAAGCATATCTTCATAACAAGAAGATTGGGGAGGTTATTCTTCGCCCGGCGGCTGGCAGGCGCAACAAGGCCATTGCGGTGGTGAAGATTGGTGAGAGGTCAACATGCAACTGGCTTATCAGTGAGGAACGGCGTTCAAACGGTGCTATTTACTACCGTTTGAAGGACAAGGTGACGGGTCGCGAGCTGGAGTTTGACGACGTGGACGAGTTCCTCAATAATTTCATTGCACCGATGGTTTTGCTCGTACAGAGCATCCGCGACCACCGACGGTTTGTTGGGAGTGTCCGGGATGTGCAGGGGGCACTGGAGGCCCAGCACCAGAGTGGCCTTGGCTTAACATATGCCTTTGCTGAGGTCTCTCAACAATCTAGGCCACCGTTTTATCGCGTGTTTACGCGCGGAGGGACGACGGATCGGAACTTTCATCTTCACATTGATGACATCAGCATTTATGTACGCGTTCCGATTCGGCGCAGCGACGGGCAGGGCGGGATTGACTTTAGGTGGGTGAAGTGCCGCAACGCCGAGCACGTCAGTGAACTCGTGAAGGGCCTGGCGCGGCCTCGTTGGCGGTGGGGTACTGACGGACAGCGTTTGCCGTAACTAGTACTTTCTTTCCTTCTATGTACCTGAGAAAGCGAGAAGTAGGAGAAGGTGGATGAGAGGAGAGCAGAGGAGAGGAGGGGGTATCTTAGCGGCTCGTTGTGGTCGTTGTGGAGCTGCAGGTGAGGGGTGGTCTATCTTCCTTTCTGTCTGCTGCTCTGTTTGGCCTCCGTCTCCTACGCATGAAGGAGGCGAATAGAGCACCTACACGAAGAGAAGTAGAAGAGTACACACCTGAGAACAGGAAGAGGAGCAGGAAAGATGGAGGCAAAGAAGGGTGAGGGACTTGCTACCAACGGAAGAAAAAAAAAGCGGGATAAAACAAAAACCTAAGTGATGACGGAAGGTCCTTGTGAGGAGGAGGGAGAGAGGCCCTCTTAAACTGTATACGCTGGGAACACCCGCACGCACAGATGTGGCTGCGGAGGTGTGGTGGCCACGGCGGGTTGTTGGCGCACTCGCTGGATGTCGCCGCCAGAGTGACTCTGACAAGGATGGCTGCATTTTTGTTTCGTTTTCTTCCATTTGGGTTGTTTTGCTTAGGATTTATTTTTTTTTTTTTTTTTTAGGTTTAGAAGAAGTTGGGTCAGCGGGGGCGCAGCAGCTACAAAAAAAAAGCGTTGGGAGGTGGGCTGCAAGGTTCGCCAGCAGCCGAGGAAAGACACAAAATAACTACCACTGGGGGGAGGGGGACAATCAAAAGACAATAAGTAAAAGGGTAGGGAGAGTAAATTTGGTTGTGGGGAGGCAGCAGTAGCTGTGGATCGATTAAAAAGCAATCATAAGAGGTTGAGGGAAAAACCAAAAAGGAAGAAACTTGTGGTAGTGAATTGCAGTGGATAGGCGGGAGACAAGTAGCAGCGGCAAAAAAAAGAAACGACCATAATACTTGTGAACTACGTAACGTCTTGTTGCTTCCTAGTCAGACTCCGAAGGAAACAGCTGCAAGAGGAAGAAATATATATATATTTTTTGATTTTTGCTTTTTTTTTTTGGCGCAACAAATGGGTCTCAAGCGGGCGCAACACATTATGGCGCGGTTTGCTCGACAGTTTCCCGAGCAACGCAGCTCCTTGATGCGTGAAGTGGAGCAAATAGAGCGTGAGACGCGGCAAGGCGGCGATATCACGCGCTTGCCGGATCGTTGCAGGGCGCTTTTGCAGGAGTTCAAGGCAAACCGACCTCTGTTGTCGTATGTGGCGCAGGGATGTCCGTCGTGTTTGTCAGCCCTGTTGTCTCGGGCGGGCCGCTGCGAAGATGTCGACGGGGCCATCTTGAAGCTTGCAGCTGCCTTGGCGGTGTCCGGCGCTCGTGCTGACAAGCTGATGGACAACATCAACAAGAATTTTTCAACGTTTATGTTGCTTGTCTTTGTCCATAACGCGACATTGGCGAATCTGGCGTCTTCACTGCTTGGTTGGGCAATACAGTTGGCCTCTGAGGGCGAAAGACTTGCGTCGCGGTTGCTCTGTGACGATGACTTTTGGTGGCGGTTGGATGACCTTTGGTTTAATGGTGGAACGCACGTGCCATCTGGCCTTCTCACGGCCTCTCTAGGGTTGCTGCGAGCGTGTTGTAGTGTGACGAGAACGGCGCGCGGTGCTGTTGTCTCACGGTTGATACGCCTTTGCGCCCTTGAAAGTGTGCGGGAAGACGAGTGCGTGATGAGTATGGCATTGCAGCTGCTCGTTGTCGTGCGGCTCACGGCGGCGGAATCCGACAGGGACGTCGATGACTGCCTCGCCATGCTCACCAACTCACGTGCGGCCGGTGCGGACGAAGACGGAAACGAGGCGCAAACACTCAGCGAGGCGTGGGCGACTGGCAGCGATGATATTCCTGTCGCCGCGTTGAGTGCGGCGCTTGACTCATTGCGGAGAGATCAGTTCGACAGTGCAGCCCGGATGAGGGATCTTCACGCTATCGCTCAACTGCTGTTTCTTCCACACGCGCCACCGGGCATGGCAGCCGCACTGCTGGTGTTGTTGCCAGGGGCTCTGAAGACTGTGGTTGTGGCAGCCAGTGGTGTGGATGAGAACGTTAGCGCATGCGCCTGTACAATCCTTGCCTTTGCCATTAGTGGGCGGGAGTGGAAGGCGGTAGCTCCACGGCAGCAGTCAGAGTCACAAGAGCGGTACCATTATAAGGGGTTTGATCCCGTGTACTACCAGAATTGCTTAGTAGAACATTTCTTTCTCCTCGGTGGCGTCGTACTCTTAGAAGATTTGCTTACGGACTACAGCAACAGTGTCATTGTGGGGGCACTTCGATTACTTCGATCGATTCTTCAGTTCTCAGATGAGGGGCGGAATGTGATATTGGCATCGAAATGCATCGAGGTGCTATGCAGGGCCATTGAAGATATGAGCCAAGATTCTAATCTTTCTCTCTTGTTGAATGGCACCGATGGGGAAACTGCCTTGTTCCTCGTACTCGACACGATTGCTCAGTTGGGTGGCGATGAAGTGCGACTGTTGCCGGAAGGAGCACTTGCATGCATCGGGGCAATTGCCACAGAGGCACGAAGTAATGCAAAAGTTTTGAAAGCTTCTATTTGTGCCTTGACGTTACTTGCAAAGGCATACCCCTTGGCAGCCACACTTGTGTTAGACTATGAATACATGAACGCTGCTCTTGCGTTTGGTGAGAGTGTCGCCCCAAGCGAGTTGGATGCCCTCTATCTCATAGGCTCTCTTAACATCATGGCCGTCATCGTTTCTAGACTACCGTCAAGTGTTACGCTTGAATGGATTGAAATCATCGTACTGGCCTCACGACGACTACAGGCGTGGGAAGAGACTGTCCCTGGTTATGCTTATGCATTTTGGAACACTCTCCTAGAGACAGTCGCCGCTTCCAAGGATGGTTCCGCCTACTTGTTTGAGGATGAAAACCTCCTTCGACTCCTGTGTGCTTCGTTGACGCGGTGCTGCCAGATATATCTTACGACGAAAAATAAGAGACCTGTTAGCAGTGATGCAGAGGCTAATACTGGTGACGGGAGTAGAAGTTGCGAGGCTCTTCATCTGCTTTCGTTGCTGGTGCGGGTGACGAGGCACGTACCGCAAATAGAGCCCCAGCGATTCCCAGTGAAGGAGTGTAATGTTCTCGAGGGCATCGCGTTTCTTATTGCTGCTTCTCAAGATGTTGTTTCACCTGATCTGCTCCTTGATGCTGCGCTGACGCTTGTGACAGATGAGGAACTTTGCGACACTGCCCTTAACATCGTCTCACAGGCAGGGCAGTCTGTCGTCCCCGTTTTGCTGAGTCGCATGCAGTTTTTTATTGCGAGCCTCTCAACCTTTGCACCTACGACGGAAAATATGAATACCATGGAGGACTTCCGGGTTGCTTTGGTTGTCTTGCGCGGTGTCTTGGAGCACAGCGCCGCAAGCCATACCCATGCAACCCTTGAAGCAGTGACAGGCCTTGTCACGGCGGCACTTCGATTACTTAATGCGTCCCCACTACCCTTTGCACTGTATACGTGCCTCTTGTTCTTGCTATGCAGCATGCTGCATATGGAGGGTGTTGACGTGACGGAGGTTGTGTGCCAGTTATGTGCCACGGATCGCCTTGTGGAATTACTGTCACTTCTTCTGCGTCTCTCACGGGGACATGAGGAGGAAGAAAACTTGTGTGGCCTGATTTACGAACTGATACAGTGGCTGTATGAGGCACAAACCGTTTCGTCATTGCCCATTCGTTTGCAGGACGGTGCATTTATTTCCTTTGCGATGGAGCACGGCCCCCGCGACTGTAAGCATCCATCTTGCCGCTCACTCCTCATGCGGCTCTCTACGGCGGCAGGTTTTGAGCGTAATATGTTTGAGTCGCACGGAGAGTTGTGCCTTGCGGCCCCGAGAGATGCCCCTGCGGGTAGTGGAGGTGAGAGCGGGGAGTTGTGTGCCGCCACTTTGCGGTGTGATGAGGGGGCAGACGAGGATAAGGGAGAGGAAGTGGAGGGGTGCTGTGGAATTGCTGGGAAATCCTGCTAATGCGCCAGTTCACGAACCAGTTGAAGTAAATTTGGCAGAACGATGCTGATGCGGGGTGGGGGTGGGGGTGGGGATGGAAGAGATACTTTTGACTGGGGCTGCCGTTTGACGACATTCCTGCCTTCACCTTTTTTTTTTCTCAATATTTTCAACGGAAAAGGTTTTTGTTTGTTTGTTAGCTGCATCTACTGTTAGATTGGTTGTGAAACTGGCGTGCAACTCAAAGGAATGGCGCTGTCGCACCGCGAGCACAGCTGCTGTTTTCCTGTTATGAGTTTTTTTTGCACGTGCCGAAAAAAATGCCGCAGCCGATTTGGCTCATGATGGGGACCGCCTTTCTGCTGAAGACGGCACACGGCGCCGCTGCCTCTGGAAAACAGTTTTTTCTCTCCGCGCAGCATACCATTGCACTATGGCAATTCATCGCGGACCCGACTCGACTGACGATACCAGAGGTGTACCGCAAGACGAGGTTTGTAGTCGTGCGTCTGTATTTGCCGGATAGTGATGGACGGGCAATCACCGGCAGCAAGGTGACCTGCATCTAGTGTCCCTCACCCC